GGACCTGCATAGACAATATTCTGTCATAGGCTGTAGTATCCATTACGAACCTCAAATACCAAATTTGAAACAATTCCGGTGAATAATGTCGCTAAATCATCAAAATACCGAATATCGGGAGGTACCGTTATATGGAGGCTATAAGAAGGCGTGAACCTGCACAGACAATTTTCTGTCATAGGCTATGAATAATATCGCTTAAATCATCTAAGTACCGAATATCGGGAGGTGCCACAATATGGGGGCTATACCGAAACGTAGACCTACATGGCGCATTTCCAGTACCAAAAGGCTTGAAGACATTATATATATTTGAGTTTTATCAACTTACTTCATTTCGTTCGGAAGCTAAAGTGATTTCCATAGATGGACAGACAGACGGACGGAAATCGCTAAAACAACTTAGAATTTTATGCTGATCAAGAAATGCTTATTTCAAGGTGTCACAAACGGAATGACAAACTTAATATATCCTTCATACTACGATGGAGGGTATTAAAAGAATACTAAATGCAGGAGATGAAGAGAAATACTCTCATCAGCCACTGTAATCCCTGGTAGTACAGCCGATATCATTACCCACAGCTTGATATTTGATATTTTATTATAAGATTTTCTTTTCTTTGCTTGTTGACTGTTCCACACCAAAGAGAGAAATACAAAAGGATTTAAGTTAATTATGCCTGCAAAAAGCTGCCAACAATTTTCGGTTGTCATTTTGCGCCTTGCGACTTAAGAGTAGGGCTATAGGGAACTTGGTTTATTCGCATGGCTTATGATATGCTGTTGTATTGTATTACATTGCAGTGTAATAAAACTTCCAGTTTTTTTCAGCCGTTTTCTTGCTTGTCCTTTATTGTTACGTTAAGCATTTTCTGTTTGTCAGTCGGTCTGTCTGTCTGTCTGTCTGTCTCTCTGTTGTTCCCTTTTTTTGGTGAAATTGCCTTGAATGTTTGTTTATTTTTTATGTTTGTTCTCAATTGTTATGGGTTTCCTTGATTCTTGTTGTCGTTCTTGTTGTTGTTGTTGGCATACTTATGTGCTTACTTATGAATGTATCCTTTTTTATTTATGCACGTATAAAAATGTAGACATACTTGTTTTTACATATGTCAGAGAATATGGGAAATTGTAAAGAAGATAACGGTTAGTTCAGTACATATGAGACACTGCAGTGTAAATCAGGATAAATAGTGAGTGCCCATTTAAAAACTGAAAGTGGCGTATAAAAAAAATTCTACCAGCAAAATAATAGACTACGAAATTATACCCCGATTCGTGCTAGTCTTATATTCGGGATACATTAACCAATCAAGAGGACAGGTCTAAATAACTTTTATCATTGACATCTGGTGACCCATTTGCAATTGGTTGTCTATGGACATATTACAACTTTTTGAGATTAAACCAATAGAGAAAGGCCAAAGTCCGGCTAGGACGACTTTATGATACTCCACACCACTTTGCATATACAGGGTGAGAGGAGAAAAAAGCAACCAACTTCAGACTGCTGTCATTTCTAAGCCACTCGTCCGACAGCTGTAAAATTATTCCAGTGACAGCTCATTATATTGTTTACAAGCGTACAAAAGAATTTTGGTGAGAATTTTCCAGAAGAAACGTTATTTGTGATGGAATTCAAGCGTGATAATGTGATTCTTTATGTGTGACGGAGTAAATTGCAATTCCAATAAGAAAGCAAAGGCTATAGTCGTGCGGGGCCGACAATGTGATACCCTACAACACTAAAATATGTCAGAAGCCCCTTTATGTCCAAATGTAAGTTGGAAGATTTCGCTTTGGAAATTATGTAACGGAGTACTGCCCTGATATTACCCTTAGCATTTTGATCGGACACATTTATCCAATATTTACGCACTCCATCGTGCTGTTAGTTGTTGTGGTCCATTTTACAGCTAAATATAATCAAATGGTGATCCAAAATGTTACAATTCTTCCCTGTCCTTAACTCTCTTCTCAGGCGTGTCGATTGGCTTCAATTGCGTGATCAGAATTTTTTTCTGATTTTGATTCATTTGAACCGCTAAATAATTGACAAAATTTGTCAAAATCGGTCCAGCCATTCTTGAGATATAAGATTTCTAGCTAACATACCCTTCCTTTGTATATACAGGGTTGTCCATATTCGACGGACCCATCTGGCAACGCCATAACTTTTGACAGAGATGTCACATCGCTTAATAACATACCGTGTTTGAAGCGTCAGTCCAAGCAGATTTTTACCATGAACCAATACACGAGCTCTGAAATAGTTGAAATTTACATTCAACAGAAGAATTCAATTGTGAAAACTCAACGTGCCTTCTAAGAACACCATTAAGCGTTTATACGAAAAAATATCTACTGGTAAAGCTCTTTCTAATCCGAAGATGTCATATAAAAGTCGACCAAGGCGATCGGCCGAGAATATCGCTACCGTACGAACCAGTGTTGAGAGGTGCCCAAGAACATCCCAAAAACGCCGTTCTCAGCAGTTGGGCATGGCTCGGTCCACTTTACAACGGATTATTCGCATTGATTTGCATTTGTTCCCGTACAAAATTCAATTGACGCAAAGAATGTTGCCTGCGGACAAGCCGGAATGGGCCCAAAGAGTTATAGGTCCGTCGAATATGGGCAACCCGGTATACATTGTATATATTTCGCTATATATATCCACTATATTTTCTATCGGCATCTAAATAACGGTCAGAGCTGACCTGTTGGTCTATTTATCTTTTCGCCGGGATTAAAAATATTCGCGGGTTAATGGAAAATTTGATTTTTATTTAACAAAAACGATATGGTCTATTTCACCCACCATTACCTGATGGCAATCAAAATTGGAAGGCTTTTGCACAGCCCTTAGCTCTAGCCCCATGCTAACTTCCGTGTCGATTGGTCTATAATTGCGACCAGTAGAGCAATTGCAAAATCAGGAAATGTTTCAGTTTTTGGTCCATTTCAATCCCTAAATATTATGCGAGCATCTCCAAAAGCAATAGGGTTCTATTCTGGCCCTAGCCCCACCTCCATTCTAAATTTCATGAAGATCAGGCCATAATTTCGACCTGTAGAGCGATTACAAATTAACATGGATAGACGGACGGACGGACATACATAGCTAGATCGACTCAGTTCGGTGAGATAGAAAGATCCATATATACTTTCCTATGTGGGAAACCAATATTTAGAGGCGTTACATAATTTTTGGTTGTAATGTTGTAGGGTATAAAAAGTGCAAGAACTTACACCGCAACAGAAAGAAAATAGACTCAAAAGAGCTAAAGAGTTGCTTCGCTTGGCCGAAAGATGTGAACTGCCGAATTTGGTTGTTCTCTGATTAGAAAACATTCGTTGTCCAGCAGTTTTTAAACAAACAAAATAATCGTGTTTACTTTCCAAAGAGGTCAGCTGAAAATGTGTACCTTCGGTTGGCTACCAGAAACTCAGCCCGCGCCACCCAAGAATTTTTACAAAATGAGGTTCCTCGCTTCATTTCCAGCGCACAATGGCCACCAAAATCTCCGGATACCAATCCGTTGGACTATTGTGTCTGTAGTATTTTGAAAAGCAAGGTTGGCACTAAAAAACACCAAAATTTGTTGATCACCTCAAGCAAGCGCTTCTCCGGGATGGACCAAAATACCGCAGAGCAACATTCGGGCAGGGTGTGACGGTTTCATTGGCCGTTTGAAGGCCATAATCCGTGCCAAAAGTGACCAATTTGAACAAATCTTAACTTATTTTAAAATTTGATGCTCTTTCCGATAGTTTTTGCTTTCATTCAGAATCAATTATCTAGTGACTACGGATCATCGTTTGAAAATGCGGCTTTTAACTGTGACGTACCTTAAATTTACCACTGTGCATTTTATTGATTTATAAACTCACGATTTTCTATTCATTGAAATAAGTGGATCTGGCGATTGGCAGCTGTAAAGATATAACATTCTTCTACAATTCTAAAATATTGCAAAATTTTACGACTTGAAAAGAGCATTCATCTGTGGTGGAAGGCTCCAATAAAAAAATAGATCATTAAAATGCTAAAATCACCCTAAATATTTTATTTAAGTTTCTTGGAAATACAATTGTCCAAAAATATTTGTGCACATATATTGACAAAACCTGAAACGACTCATATCGCTGAAGGTTAACATTTACAATGAGCTAAATAGCTTACAAATTTCCTAAGCATACAGCTGAATATAAAAAAACACGAAACAAAACCATCAAAATGTAACCGAAAAGAAAAAACAAAACTATGGTACTAAATGTGGGTTAACATACGAAGCGTAAAATTGCCAAAATAAAAGAAAGTAAAATATACCAGCAAGTTGTAGCATTTTGTCAATTTCCTTAAGTAAAGTCCATACACATTTGTGAAATTTGTTTGTTTTTTCTACTTTTGGGTAGTAAAAATATTTTATTTGTGCCCAAAAAGTACTTGGCTTGGTTTGTTTCCAATGACATTTCGTTAGCTACTTAACTGCTTTGCCAAATGTGGGTAAAATATATTTGACATATTTTGGTCAAGTTTTAGAGAGGTTTTTTAAGTGTCATCAATCCAAATGACCCAGAGATATGCATATGAGGAAATTGTTGGTATAGAGTATACATTAAATTTAGAAAAATATTTATAAAAACATGAAAATATTGTGGTTTTTTATATACCTAAAAAATAAAGGAAATACATATATATTAGATATATATATGTTAGAAAAATGTTTTAGAAAAATATGTGTTTATGAATTTTCCCATCTTCCCCATAAGCCGAATACAAATAATATATTTTTGTCAGACAAATATTTTATGTAAATTAAAATTTTGTCTTATTTATATTTGAAATACAAATAAAATTTTTCCTCCATCTACTGACCACGCCATAAATGTGGGCAGTGTACCAGAACAGACCATAAACAGCTCGTTTTGTTTTCCAACAACTAATTCCATACCACAGTGATATATTTTAGAGCCTTAAATATAACACCACCTACCTTTTGATCTTTCCACCCCACCAAAGGTGGAAAACAAATGACAAACGATAATACCCATATGCCGGCAATTAGAGATTTGGCCTTTTTTGTAGACATAATGCTGGGATAAGTAACCGGTCTTGTAACCGCCACATAACGATCCAGAGATATGGCACACAGATTTAATATTGATGCCGTGCACATCCATACATCAACGGCCAGCCAAATGCGGCACCAGACATCACCGAAAATCCAAACCTAAAAAAAACAGTCCAGAAAAACACACACACAAATCATATAATTACATATTTATTTAGGTAATTTTGACTGAGTAAAAATAAACACAGACCACATGGCGTACGACTGACATTAATTACTCGAAACAAATAATTAATAACACTCATACGCGTACGTGGCCAAGGCATTTTCATCTCGCCAACTTACCTTAAACACCTCCCATGTAGCCGAAAACGGTAGCACCGCCAGACCCACCAACAAATCGGCCACCGCCAAGTTTACAATGAAAAAATTCGTAACACTGCGCAATTTGTTCGAACAGAAAACGGCGGCGATGACGAGCAGATTTCCTCCTATTACTAAAACATTGATAAATTCGAGTATCGCTAATGAGATCAAATTCGATGGTTCCGTCCATTTTACCGACTTTATTAGACTCTCACACTCTGTTTCATTCATGGCGGTAATTCAATGATGGGTGTTGAAATGTATTGACTACCTGGAATGAAAAGCGAAGCGAACGCCAAGAAGATCATATTAAAATTAATTTGCTTTATGTTAAATATTAATGGGTCTTAAAGTGAGCGAAAATTACTTTTTAAAAGGAATTAAATTATTTTATTAATTAATGGCAATGTTAATGAAGGCACGTGTACGACATTTTGATACGGCATCATCAAATTGCCAAATAAAAATAGGTTTTGTTTTAACAATTAGTGGTAATAGCCCATTATATCTACAAAAACTATACTAAGTAGAGATATTCCCAAGAATTGGTTGGGGAAAATTAAAAATTAAAGTATTTTTAGAGTATAAGAAATTGATAGCATAGTATTTAATTAATTATTACTCTGAGACACAACTATTTTGGTAATTGCTCAGCAGATAAGGAAAAATGATGTCAAGAATGAAGAGTTGGATATAAAGGAGTTCCCTTCAATTTCACAAGATCTCGAATACAACTTTTTTGATTCAAAGGTCACAAAAACGGACATTTTTTTAACTTGCAATTTAAAAACAAAACATTCTCCAAAGAAATTTATTTAGTTCCACAAGCTATTCGCAAATATAGAAACAGAGTTGGCAAGTTCTGTTTCCATATTAGGGTCCGCAAAAAATGTGAAGAAAGCGTACAGTTTTTATAACAGCTATGCTCAAAATCAACCTATAGAATATCTACTAAAATTTAAATTGTTATAATAAGTTCAGAGAAAAACCAGTAAGGAAAAGTGAAAAGTCGGGCGTGGCCGACTTTGTGATATCCTACACCACTATGCATATTAAGTAGATCCTCCGTAATAAAAGAACTTATTTAAAGTTGATCACACCAACCATCAACATTTGGCTTTAGAGAAGTTAGTTTAGTTGCAGAGTAAACTAATATATGGGAATTTGAAGAAGATATTTTAATATATTATACCAAATAATATTGCTATAGAGTGCATGAGAAGGATTATATTAAAAAAAATAAATATCGGAGCCGAGTTCCACAAAATGGAGACGTACGTCCTGAAATTCACTCCATTTGGGCTGATATTAGCGTCATTATTTGCACAATAAACCTGAAATCGAATTAAGGAAATTTAGGAGCTTTATCCAAATCTTAGCCAATCTCGGTAAAATTTGGCAAAGGTTTTCCAAAAATCATTATTGTCGAATGTATATTAGGAATTTGAGGGACTTAAACACCAAATTGGATGAAACATATATATGGGAGCTATATCTATATCTGAACCGATTTTCTCCAAATTTGATGTCCCTGATTTTAGACTAAATTCGGTCAGATATACCAAAATTCAGGTCATTTGGGCTTATATTGGACATTTGGTGCACAATTAACCCGAAATCGGTTAAAGATACATGGAAGCTTTATCTAAATCTGATCCGATTATCACTAATAGGGTTCGTTCTTGGCCAAAAAATTGTTTGCAAAACTGCATCTCAATCGGATAATAAATACGAACTGCATTTCGTTCACAAGAATGCATGGACGAACTGACATGCACAAGACGACTTATAAAGTGATTCTGAAGATCATCAAGAGTATCTATGGGTCTATCTCGTTTCCTTCTCCCTGTTACAAGCAAATGCACAAAGACATAATACCCCTACCCCTATGTGGTGTAGGGTATACAATTACCTTTCAATATGCTTTTGACAAGGACATTATACACAACTCACAACTGCCCGAGTGTATTATTTATATTTTTAGAAATCCCACTCCTTAACACATAGAAAATATCTTATCACTTCTTCCTTAATAAAATTTTTCGAATTGGCGTTTATGAAAAAACTTAAATTTATTTGCAGGAGGCACAACTCTGCATAACATTTTGGAATATCCAAGTTACGGTTTTCGACATTTAATGCAAAGGAGTATTTTCAAAGTTTTACGTTGGTTCTGGAACATTCTAATTCTAGTCTTTGACTTTTTTCCTAAAATCTTTTACCAGAATTTATATATGTTGATGAATTTATATTTTATATACTAAGCTTAAAATATTAAAGTTTCGAATGAAGGTAGCCTCAGATTAGGGGAATTTCGGGCCTTAAGAAAATGTTCCGTATACCTCCTAGTACCTCATATTAGTAATATGCACCCTACAACAATGATATTTTGTACCAGATACCAGTTCAGAAATACCTTTGCCAAATTTTATGGAAATTATATTTGGAAATTCCATACGATATTTCATCCGATTGCACCGTTATTGTTGCGACATTTGGTGAAACTGAGTTCCCATATATATCTATTATTTTATATATAATTATCTTTTTAAAAATATCTATTGCTTTTATATATATTTTTTTTTAATATAAACCAGTAAAGAAAGTCTTAAAGTCGGGCGTGGCCGACTTTATGATACCCTACACCACTTTGCTAATTGAGTAGAGCTCCACATAACAATTAAAAGTTTTTATGGGAGAGTTCAATCATACACCCTATGATTATAATTACAATTTAAAATTCAAAGGACTAAATATGCCGAAGCATTTGTATCTTTTAAATTCGGACTTGTATTGCCCATTTGGTGCACAATTAATTTGAAATCGGATAAAGATATATATGGGAGCTATATCCAAATCGGAACCGATGTCGATAAAATTTGGCAAATATATTTCTGAGTGGTATTTGATATATTTCCCTGAAAATAGTTGTTACGGAGTGTATATTACGGCTGTGGGTAACAAATATAACAAATCGGATGAACATAATATATTGGAGCTATAGCTATATCTGAACCGATCTTCACCAAATTTAGCTTCTAGACTCAATTCGGTCGTAAGTGCCAAATTCCATCCCATTTGGACACATATTAGACGTTTGGTGGACAATAAGAGGTAAATCGGACGAAGTTATATATGGGAGCTATATCCAAATCTGAACCGATCTCGATAAAATTTAACAAAGGTATTTCTGAGCTGTATTTGATATATTTTCCCAAATATTGTTGTTATAGAGTGCATATTACCGCTGCGGAGGACAAAAATAACAAATCGGATGAACAATTTATATGGGAGCTATAGCTATATCTGAACCGATTTCGATCAAATTTGGGATACATATTTTCAGGGCTAATTTAGTTGTACGTGCAAAATTCCATACTATTTGGGCAAATATTAGACGTTTGGTGCACAAAAAAGGGCAAATCGGACGAAGATATATATATGGCAGCAATATCTAAATTTTTACCGATTATCTCCAATTTCAATTGGGTTCGTCCTTGGGCCAAACACATTATATGTGCAAAATTTCATCTGGATAGGGCAATAAATGCGAACTGTACTTTGTTTACAAAAATACATGGACAGACGGACGGACAGACGGACTCACGGACATGCATAAATCGACTCAGAATGTGATTCTATGCAGATCATCAAAAGGAACTATGAGTCTATCTCGTTTCCTTTTGCCTGTTACAAACAAATGCACAAAAACATAATACCCTGACCACCTTGTGGTGTAGGGTATAAAAACATTCTCGAAGTCATTTTAAAAGTTGAAATAAAACAAAACTAATTTGAAACAATTCCGGTATATAATGTCGCTAAAATCATCAAAATACCGAATATCGGGGGGAACCGCTATATGGGGGCTATACGAAAACGTAGACCTACATGGCCTATATTCTGTCTTAGGCTGTAGTATCCATTACAAACTTCAAATACCAATTTTGAAACAATCCCCGTAAATAATGTCGCTACTTGGCCCATTTTCAATATCGAAAGTCCTACAGACATTATACACATTTGAGTGAATTTTTATCAACTTACTTCATTTTGTTCGGAAGCTAGAGTGATTTCCACAGACGGATGGACATTGTTAAATCGACACAGAATTTTATGCTGATCAAGAATATATATACTTTGTGGGGTCTAAAATGTATATATCGAGGTGTTACAAACGAAATGGCAAACTCAATATATCCTCCATACTATGGTGGAGGGTATAAAATACTTTATATATACAGCAATTCCACTATATGGAATATATATCAAATCAAAGACCTATATGGTCCATTTGATTTAAATCTTATGAACGTATCTCGTGCTATTCGGAAACAAGAGTGATTTTCATAGGTGATCAGAGAGACGGACGGGTAACTTGGTATAGAATTGTTTGCTAATCATGAATATATACTGTGTATGTGGTCTAAAACTGGTATTAAGAGGGCTTATAAACAGAATGACAAATTTAACGCTTTCATACTATATATGGCGGAGGTTATAAAAACTCAACACAAACGTAGCTGTGAACACTACCTAGTATTCTATCATTGAATTTAATGAAAACACCAAACGATGGTTACTTTCTAAAAGCTATACTAAATCTTAAACGAAATCTTTAAAAAATGTATACATTTACCAGAACACAAAAACACTAACACACGCATATATCTTTAAATAATAAATCTTTTAGCAAACATATAATAATCAATAAAAACGCATATTTCACCAATATTTTATGAGTTGGCAAACTTTTCGATTGCCCTTGACTGCGAGCTCTCGCTCGCTTTTCTCGATTTAAGGGGAAATTTATGTGTTAACATTATTTCCGAACATTTTCCTTCTTTTCCTTTTTTTTTTTTTTTTTGGCAAAAATACAACTTAAAGTCAATGGTTATGGTGGTGTTGGTTAAATACATTACGGATTCGTTATCATTTCCCTGGTTTCGTTTTCAGACCGCTTCATCTACCCCACCCCAATATGGTGTTCCGCTCGCACAGCCCATATGCTGCGAGTGTTACGATTGGATCCATTTCATTTCCTTTTTAATTTATTTGCTTCAACTTAAAGTTCGACTTTTTCTTGTTAATTTTTGTTCCGTTGTTTGGAGTTTTTCCTATTTTTTTTTTAATTCAATTTCTTTTTTTATTTCCTCTTCTTCTTCTTCTTTCTGGGTCTCGGACCAACACTAATGGCATTAAGAACACTTTTGCAGTACTTGTAATTAATTACAAAATTTAATTGAAATCCACACGCAACTCTTGCAGTTG